AGCAAATGACTGTAATTGTGACTTTGTTGAAAAGTTCTCCGCTTTTTTTAGTCTTTCTCCACAAACCAAATTATATCATGAATTTATTCAGAATAAATTCTGTCCTTTTTTTTAAACCATACGGCTATGCTCACCTATCATCAACATATTCCATAATTGAATTTTTCTTTCTCGATTATGAATTCACTATGCTCGCACACTTTTTTCCCTTTATATTTTCCGTTTTTATGATTGATATTTTGATGTCGGAAAAATTATACATTTCCGTTAAGCACTTTTCGATTTCGTTTTCCCTTTTGCTCTTAATGCGAAAAAATATAAGTGTTTTCCTTTCATGTTCCAACTTTTTCAGTCAAGATTTTTTTTTCGCTTGTTTAATTTTCCTGTATTTCAAGGAATAATTATAATTGCATGTAAATATTTATCCTTATTAAGTAAAAGAGCACCGTTATTTTGTTGTTTATACAGAAAATGCAACGAGCTATCCAATTACCAGCTCAAACTTATATCGCTCCCCTCTCTCTCACATGTACACGCATTCGAAGCGGTGTGAGGGGTTTTTTTCCTTCGTGCTTCAGTACACATAAGTATACACATTATATCAGTATTCCATAATTTACGGAGCGCATTTGTTTATCGAGAAATAGGGAGACACGAACATTCATGCATTTGCTCATTCGGTGACTTTCATTCGCTCTCTCTCTTGCACACACATTTTCTTCTACTCTCTCCTTTCCAATGAAGTCAAATCGCATTTCATTTGCCAATAACGATGAATGCGACTATATTGCTAAACAACCGCTCATAATTGATGACAAGCAACGGGGGTAAATATGCATCTATCGTTGAACTTTCTTTTTGATGTAATCATCTGTATCAACGAAACGCTGCTGGAAAAAAAAACTTACTTTCATTAAAGTAAATCTATTACAACGACTCTCACATGCACACAAATGGAATGGAATGTGTCCTCATTTTACTAGTCAATTTCATTCGACACTAATCAAATTTTATGAATGAAAAGGCAAAAGGGAAAAATTAGTTTTTCCAAGTTGATTTCGTTAACTTGTTTGAAAAGAAAACTATTAACGATTCCATTTTAATTACAACTTTTCATGACAACTTTAAGTGTATCTCGTTCTCTATATTCTCCGTTTTTTTTGTGTTCATGTTTCTCGGAATATGCGAAATGTTTCGGAGCGCCATCAATTCAATCGATTGATTTCGTGAACGTAATTACTCAATTTTAATTGGGATAAAGTCGTTCGAAATGAATTTGGAAAATGCTACTATTACTTCTGTAACAGTAGAAACTATGTATAATTTCCATTGAGTATTGAAATTCGGAATTTCAACTCTTCGAAAAAAATAAACGAAATTCTGACCAATCATTCCGATGAGCTATCACAACTTTTTTTGTTCTGAATGTTGCGTGTCGTTTTTCATTATGTTTACCCAAATACCAGATCCCAGTCATTCACATTTGAGGCCGGAGGCACAACGATGTCGCATTTTTCATGATCGAATTTCATTACAAACAGGAACAAAAATTGATGAAAAAAAACCTTTTGAAAGCAAATACACTTCGGTATGATACACATACAAAAAATGCTGACAACCTGGCTTTAAATCAGGAGGAAAAATAGCTTTTTAATTCAACATATTATATTTCAATCGATATTGTTTCTCTTTTTTTTCGGAGAGAGGACAAAAAAAATCTGAAGAGCACTCTTAAAACCGTGTTCAAAACAAAAATTACTGTTTCCTTCTCCAATGGCAACGTTTACAAGAAGTGAAACCGTGTACACGTTCATGTTCCATTTATTTTTCGGTGGGAATCATGACGAGGCGACATAAACCATCGTCAACTGTAATTGGGTTTTTCGGAAAATTTTCGCGTTGTGTAAAAAAAACTTTTTTTTGTGTGTGCTTGTGAAAAGTATAAGCTTTTAAGTTTATAATATTTTAATCAAATGCATACACTTGAGCACTCTCTTTTCCTTTGTGTGTATGTGTGCATGTAAAATGTATAATAAGTGTGTGCCTTTGTTTTGGTTTGATGCCTGAGCATATAGCTGGTAGTTCGTATGTGATATAACCAAACTTAATTTCATTGTAAAAGTTTTGAGTTTCGATACAAAACAAGAATAAGAAGGACGGTGAGAAGAAGAAGAGAAGCCATCATTACCGCACATCTCTCATGGCAAATATAACAAAATTAAGTGTGTTGCGTTTGGTTGTGTTGTTTTCATTTTCTTTGGTTATTCTATCCAATATCATCGTCATTCCTTTATCTGTGCAACAAAACCGAAAAGTGTCTTCCATTCGACTCATGTGCACAAAGCAAAAAAAAATGAACCCAAACACATTGGTTTCCATTACAAGCGAATATATTCAACAACATGAAAACAATATTATACTTTAAAATGCAACCACCGTAAATTTTCACCGAAACGCACGCATTTTCCGCCCAACATTTTCAATTGTACGATGTTGTTGTTCAAGCGAGTGATACACTCCGCATCAACAATTCTACGGCTGCCATTTATCAAAGAAGCTTACACAATCGTTCATCGAAGAAAACTTCTCGCACTCTGCCGTTTATTTGTGTTGGTATTGGACCAGAAATGTGAAACAAAGCAAGCATTGAAATTCATCAAAATCGAGATGCGAAAAACGAAAGAAAAACACTTCGGCAAAGTTCGATGGAACAAAGGTTGAAGTGACTGAGAAAATGGTGTGAGAGATAGAGAGAGAGAATGATGCGCCATTCCCTCAAATATGAAGATATCAATCGCAGTTCGGCATCTTGCTCGTAACTCACCGTTCCAGTTCTCGGCATTCGACAATGTGTAGTGGTTACGATGTAGCACATAAAAAGGATAAAATAAACACATTTGCATTGCAGATGAGATCAAACTTACGGTTAAATTGATTTTATAAGAGCATAAAACAAACCGTTATGCGGAGAGAGAGAGCGCGCGAATGAAGCACAGCCATCCAATCTTGGATTTTTACCTTTGAAAAATTTATGCTAAACGCTTGTGAGAATCATTTTGTACGCACAGTGAAAACATACACGTTTTGGCGTGTAGTTGGTAGAAAGGTTGGTGCATATATTGAAACGAAATGTAGAAATGGTATGAATCGAAGGGGGGCTGAGATGAGATTAGGTTCGTTCGATTTCAATATTGTTATGTGTATTGTATCGAACAAGCGACTATGAAATTGGTGTGTTTGTCGATGCATCGAACACACATCAGTCTTATCGATGAGCTAAATCAAACAAAATAAATGTGACGTTGTCGACGACGGCGACAATGTTCACAAAAGTGGAATTTCGAAATTGGTATGCATTTAGCTGCGATTGATAGTTTGCTGACTGGCGGCTCCTGTTGTCGTTGTTGCGTATATTGGTGTATGAATTTGGCATGAATCCAAAGAATCGGAAATGTAAATTAAATGTTCAATTGGATTAGAACGAGACAAAGGGCGAAACGCGCGCTCCCTGCTACCTTGCACAAATCCGCTCACATCGGCTCAGCACATCACACAAGCCCTTTCTCATGCTTTGCAATTCAATAAATTTTTAATGTAAGTCTCGAGGTGGAGACGAGATTTTCAGCGGCATCAGCAACCGTTGTACGTTTATACATTTTAAAATTGTGCACAGATTGCATTGCCGAGTGAAAGAAATCCGGAAAATCTAATCCCTCACAATGAATATCCAGGAAGAAAATATGGATTTTATTTTTTGAAAAAGCAAATCAAGTCAACTAGTACAACGATATACTTGCCGACGTGTCAATGTGAATAAGAAGAATATGTTTCGTTGAATGTCGAAAGGTAAACTTCACATTCGAACTTGTAAATGGTTTTTATACCCCGCACATATTTCACTTGTTCATCCTTTTCTCACATCTCAATTCATCGGCTTTTATTGTTTTGTTGTTCTGCCTAAATATCGGCATTGAATTGAATTTTACCCCTGATGCATCACATTTGCCGATCACTCTATTTATCCGGGATGAAAATGTTTACTTGTACCTTGTCGTTCGGTGCCTTGCCATTGACATTTGCATTTATATTTCGATGTACTTGAGTGAAACAGATTCAATTTTATTGCATAATTTTTGCTAGTTTCATGTTTTGCATTGAATTGCTCGCAATCTCTTTCGCTCTATCTCGTGCTTCGTTTCTCTCATTCGAAATCAATATAAAATGCGAATAATACGGCAATAAGGAAATGAAGGAAATTTCCCTTTTTTGCTACCTCAGCATTGAGTGACTGTTTCACATAATTTTACATGCACTGTGATATTTCTATATTTTTCGGTATGTACTCGTCGGATTCATTTTCATGCAATTCTCATACTCATTGTATCTCTTTCATGATGTGAGCATGTACCGTTGCTATTTGGACCGAACGGAAAGGAAAACGAGCGAAAACATTTCGTTAAGTTTCCATATTGCAGATATAATATTTCCTTATTGAATGTAGTAAAAAAGGGAAATAATAACAGTAAAAATTCTTATAACAATAACAATAATAGTAATAAACTGCAGAAAATGGTATGTCATTTTATTTTCGTTTTTGCGACGACAATTCGTTATTATCTGGAAAGATGAATCTTTGTATCTCATTTCAGCTTCAAGTGCAATACCAGAAAAAAAAAGAAAAGAAAAATGCCTCTTCTGTTGCCCAACTCTAATACTAAACACCATTCTCATTTGCGATGAGAAGAGAGAAAAAAATCCAATTCAACCGAAGTGTTTTTACATTTCCGCGATTTCCAACTTATATATATACACATTTCCTTTCGGGTACTTTTCATTATTTTCATTATATTTCAAGTGGATACTTAATATTTTCGGGGGTTTTATCGTCATAATTCTTGCCAATACACTTGGTAATCTTGTTTTTCTGCAATGTTTTTTTTCTGTGTCTTTTTTTTCTCTGCTCGAAATGAGAAAATAAAATGGAATTGTTGAGTTCGTACCTTGTGTTCCATGTATCGCAATTGCCAACAGCACCGTTACCACAATTGTATCCATTTTGATGATAATTTATGTTATTATACCGAGGAGACGCTGCACAGAATCTCACTACCGCACATTCGTACTTTCGATACAAAATATCTGACACCGAAATCAACCGAGAAAATATTTTTTTTTTGGTTTTTTCTTTATTTCTCTTTTTTTCTGATTTGTCGACAATTTGCTAACTACATCGTTTTTAACCTCTTATTTTTCGCATTTTTTCCATTAGCAAGAAGTTTTCCATGACAAAATTCCTTAACTCGATAATTTCGTTTCAACGGCGCGCACTTTTCACATTAATCTAAAAAAAAAACAACGGAAATCGGTTTTTTATCAGCCAAACGGGATTTTTTTCGATGAATTTTCTCAGTGCTGTTAAATTTTATTTCAAACACGAGCGAAAAAACGAACTTTTCAAACTATATAATCATTATCGATTCGAATGCTTCAATTTCCAATTCAATTTTGTCACACACAAAATGATTCGTTTTCGTTTCTATTTTATAGTTCACAGTTTCATTCTCAAACTCGTTTATTCGTTAAAAAAGGTTAAAATCCATTTGATTTTCCAAAGGGTTCAACTTGATGTATCACTGTTTCTTTCTTTTTGTTTGTTTTCATTAAAAATAATCAACAAAATGCACGATTTTCAAGCAAAAACATACGGGAGTAAAGCACACAAGACGAAATGATTCTTATCTTTATATTTCAGATGCTTGACGGCTTTTGTCTTATCTTAAGTGGCATCATTTCTTGACACAAAAACCATCCGAAGAATTTTGAATGTTATCACCGATGTAGCTTCACTGTTGTCGTTGTCGACGATACGCTCACAGAACTTTCAATATAAAAAACAAACTGATGGAATGTAAATTGTTGTAGAGAAGAAATAGCAACGAATTTTCACTTCAGAGCAACGTGAATTGTTGAATTCTCGTCGATATGCTGAATCGAATGAGAAAGGGAGAACTAACGACGAGCTTTGCTTCGTTTAGGTCTGTTTCTGCCGCTATCCCAGGCTCAACTAAACTTTTCCGTGCTGCGAGCGAACAGCATATCGGCACTCAAATTGAATCTAAAGCACTTTTCCTTTTTTTGTTCTATCGTCCTGTGTGTATCGCCACTTCGGCTTGTATTCAATGAACCCGACTCACTTGAGTCCATATAGCGTGAGTGTGTTTTTAGTGCCAAAACACAGTTGTGCTTGTGTTGGTTTTCCAATTGGAAACATTCCAATGCGTGTGTCTTATCAGTTTGTTTTCATAGCAAACGTTCCAGTGCGTGCATGTCAGTTCCCCACTGTCAAAACTGGATTATGCGCCCTTTTCATTCGTTGGAAATAGAAAAGCCGAAAATTGCCGAACGTTTTACGCTGGAATACTGCCGATAACATGCACGGATATATACTATGAACGAAAAATGGTATGCATTTTGTGTCTACAATTTCGAAATGCATTGCGTTTCAGGCAATGTTTTTCAAATTGAAAATAAAAAATGCAAGATATTTTCACTGCACGCTCCCATAAAAATGATGTGTAAACATTACAATGTAATAAAACAATTTGACGATATTGTTGTTGTTGGTGGCACTGTTGATTTTTAAATGTATTTTCATACCTCAATCACAACCGCGTTTTTTCCTTTTTCACTCTCTTTTTCTCTCTGCCTCGATCTCCCGCTCTCTCCCGTAATTCAATTGACAAAAATGTATGCTAATCGGTGTTGTTGAAATCCTGTACTGCCTTGATATTTAGTAATTGCGTCTGTTTTGCTCATTGTTCCGCATTTTGTCTGCGAATTCGGAATATTTATCGGATTGAATACACAAACAAAAACCGGGTTTTTCCATTCATATTAATGCGAAATACGACTGTGGTCTGAAGCAAGGAGTATATGCAATATCTGCATTTAAAACGCAAATGTTCTGTTTCCCGACGATTATTCCTTCGTTGGCTAGACGTTGTTTCGCATGTGCATTAATGTTTGGCTGTAAATTTCAACTAAACTCAGCACCAACTGGCTCGTACTTAATATGTATACATGCCGTGGTGACGTGTTATGTGCTGCAAATGGAACAAGAATGAATTTGTTCTCGTTTACAGATGGTGAAAGCCATTTCTTTCAGTGAAAAGTGAAAGTGATCGGTTTTTCATATTGATGCGTTTGCAATGTGGAAATCATTATATTGAACTGCTGCAGACGATAAAGCAAAACAATTCAACTCAAGGAAGTATGCCACTAGACATGAAAAAATGCGCTTTCAATTTCACTTTTGATAATTCGTTTTTTCCTCCATCAATTTTTCTTCCATTTCCACATTCTTGATTCATTCAAAATATTTGCAAAATTGGTTTTTTGCCTAACCGATGACGACACTTGGTCCCGTTTTTTACGTCTGCATCAAACATTTTTTTTAATGTCATCATGCATGTGTTATTTTTGTGGAAATTAAGCAAACAACAGGCAAATGAAAAGTAAATTCACTTTTTGCTCTTTTCACTTCCTGCCATAGTTTTGAACTCGTACTCTCATTTTTTTCCATAGTGTAGTACAAAAACAGTTAGTGAATGCTGAATGAAATATCGTAAGGACAATGGCTGTGAAGTGAGCTGGCAGTATAGAGAATAAAAAAAAGTTCCACTAGAAAGTTCTTCCAAATGAAGAACGAACAAAAACAACGAAAAAAAAACAATTTAAAACACAAAAACAATCCAGCACGATAAATTTATGGTCACTTTGGTTCCTGTATATGAACGCGCGCGCGAGGGAAAGAAAATGAAGTTTCCCCCTGCCAATGCCATTTTTTTTTCTTTCATTATTCGTTTGGCAGTAATACTTTGTTTGGCCCCAATTTTTTTTTCATCGTGTTCTACTGTTGGTTTCGATGTCGTGCGGCTTGTTCAGCGGTCGGTTAAAACTTGAAATTTATTCGTGTTTTGCGCTTTCATCGTGCTGTGTGTTTATGCCGACATGCAGCTGGCTTAATGCTGATGATAAAATAATAGAAACATTTCTACACATTAAACTTGTAATCAAAACAAAACTCTCGAACAACAAAAAGAATCCGACTACTTTGACAATCGGACAGAAAGAAATGTAAGCAATTGAAAAACACCATCCATTTTTTGATCAACACACAAAACACATTGCAAGCATAATATTCGGTTTTGCGTAAAATTTCTTCTCTTTCGGTGCCTTTTTTCTCGGTGCTCTAACGGTTCGTTGAATATTAATATCGCACTGGTTGTGATATTTACGATTTTTTTTTGGGGGAGAGCAAATGATAGAGAAGCCGACTGTACTTACTCGTGACCTGTGCACATGACGTGAAACGCAAATCATGAATATGCGGTTTGAATATGAATTCATCTAATCAATATAGTAGACAAAAACACATGTGCGCTTTGCTCATCATCCCAAAATCGTTATCAGTTGCTACAGACTCTTTTCACTCTAAGTCCGGATGTTTGTTCGCGAACAATCTGTCACAATGCACACACCGGTGTGTGTATATTTGCCAAATCAAACTCATTCAACTTGCTGTGTGCATGTGATTCGTTGGATCGTTACAAATATTACATTTTTCCTGTTTCGCATTTTTCTGTCATTCCATCGGTGATGGTGTTGTTGTTGGTTGTTTTCGGCATAAATATCAGGCAGACTGAAAATGCGTTGGGTTCGTTCGTTTGTTGAGTCTCTGTTATCAAATTGAATTATTATGGATGAGACTGGCGTGTAACAGTCTGCATTTGTAATACATCATCATAATCATATTAATGATAGTGAAACCCCAACCGAAATGGATTGTCATATGGAGACAACAATCAGCACAAGATTTTCACGAAAAAGAACCAAAACGAAAAACAACCGAAATGATGTTGTTGTTGTTTCGCATGCATGACTTTATACATATCCGAATATGCGAATTTGTAAATCAACGTGTTAATTGAAACATCTATCATTTATAGTCTAAATTAACAAGCATCAAACCACACCTCGTTCGAGTGTAATGTGAATGTTTCAAATTATGTGCTTTTGGTTTTGATATGACTTTTTTTTTCGCAGCATTATAAAATGTTTTTTTTCTATAAAAAAAAGCCTCAAAGTTGATGACGGCACGATTTTTCTTCCCTTAAATGTGACAAATACGAATTTAAATCACAACATGGGACTAGTTAACGACGTCGCATGAATCAAATCGCCTGCTGAGAACTGAAATGTTTGTCATCAATCGTACGACTTGTGGCGAGCTGCTGAAAATGTGCGATCGAAAGGAGGTGGCAGTGTTTCTTTTTTCTCTCTCTCATTGTGATACGTTTATAAATTGAAGTGTGTTCCATTGAAATTTGATTTTGTTTGAGGAGTTGGTAATGCGACCGCACATTATTCTAATTGAAATTTATGCATGTGCCAACAATTAATGGTGACGCCGTTTCATATCGTTGACCAAAAAGAGGAAAATTAAGTTTCACGCAATTGCTTTGTTCAATTTGCCGCTTCAAATGGAGATTGCATTGAATAATAACGGATTATTATTTTTCTTCTTTTTTTTCTGCATGAGACGTGTCAAGCACAGTGCGGTCGAGGCTCTTGTGCCATTTCTCAGTTTACTCAATTAACGAGAGAAAAAGCAATGAACTGCAGATTGGACGTATATTTTAAAATGTGAAGATTTTCTCTCAACTCACCCTCACACGTTCAAAACGAAACGGTAACATTTTAGCGACGGCGCAATCTCTTAAACATTTCAAACATGCAATTGAAAACAAAAGGGCAACAGAAGAAGAAAACTGGTGTGTAATGAACTCAGGAAAACAATAATGAATGTTTGGATAGGCAGTTACATTAATTACATATCGACTACCGATATAAATGAGGCTCACCAGTACGCACGCAAACATTCATGCTTCTTTTTTCTTTGTGCATTTGATGGAACAAATCGCAACCTAATTTTCAATGATAATCGGCGTACGCGAAATTATTATTTCAGCATAATTATGAGTGCGTGTAAATGGTTTCGGTTTAGGGCAAATACAGCAGCAATTGGTGGGTATTATCGGTTGTGTCCGTTACGATGTATAGATTGACAAGCCTGACGATGATGATCATTATCGCAAATAATGTCGATTTTATGAAAGCATCGTGCGTAATGAATGGAAATGATAAATTGCAAATAGACACAATGTTACAGTTATTGATTATTGATTAGAGTGTGTTGTACAACTAGTTTGGCCGGACCACGATATGCAAACAAGCAAAACCTGATTAATTAACGGCATCATTTATATACGCCAATGCAATTTACGAACGCAAACGACACATACGCACAAACACAGGGCGAGAAGGTAGAGGGAAGAAAAATAAGAACACATCAAGCCATTACCAACCATAACGAATAGATTTATTTAAATTCATATACATTTTGGAAATACTTTTAAAAAATGCCAAAAATAAATGCATCGGCACTTTGAACAATTGATGGCCACAAATTTGTTGCTGAACGTGCACAGTTTTCGCCATCAGCCCAGTTTACCCTTTTTTCTTTAACGTAGCATCGACAAAGGTTGATCTCTATTTCACATTGTGAAGTTACTTATTTACCCTTCGTAAAATGTCCAATCTGTTGTTCCATGCACATGGACATTTTTCTGCATTACAGATTGCACTTTGTTCTCTTTGATTGATGTATTTTATCAAATTTCAATTTAATTTTATGCTTGGAAATCAGTGTCTCAAATACAACACTGAATCAACTAATAACAAACATGAATTTGGTCCACGTTGGAATTTATCTCTCTGAAGACTGTGTTTTGGGGCAATTAAACAGTGAGCAAAAATGCGATTGAAGATTGATTTATAAATGAAACAAATATGTGCAGATAACTTATAAAGTTAAAAAAAACTTGTTGTAAGAAAATACTGAAACAGAAAAATATATTTGTAGAAATAATCAATAAAAATGAATATAATTTTAAATTATATTATTTGCGGCCAATGCGTTGTTTAACTGATTTTTTAATGAATGCGTGTGCACCACTTCAATTTGGATAACTACGTACTTATCATATCTCATTATTTGGGTAAACACATGATTTGGTCGAAATACATAACATGAAGGGTGGCAGATCGAAATAGAGTACGGGAATAGTGTTAACGATTGCCAATGTAGAGCACACCGCTACTCAAACACTAATCGAGTGGAATGAGCACAACAAACATAAGTTTCCATGTAAAATCCAACGACCAAAATTTATTGCAAATGCACATACACAAGCATGCGTGCGTTCGTTCAAATTTAGTATTGTATGCAACCAAATAATCTTTTAATATTTCAAATCAATAGAATTTGGTGCGTGTTTTTGGTTAGTAGCCAATTCATTTCATCAACCGCCGTGGAAATAGTTTGTTTGATTTTCAAACATGTAATTCGCATGAATCGTTGTAAAAACACGCACAGTTCCGATTGATTGAGATGTTTACAATTAAATTCCTGAAATTTCAAATTCCAACTGCAAAAACAAACGACCAGCGAGCATTTGCGATGCAATTTTTTTTCTATTTTGGCTGAATTCTGCCAATGGAATCCTTTTGATATGATTCAAAATGCTAAACAAATCCCCAAAAGGGATTTCCGCTTCAATGAAATAAACCAACAAATTTTGATTATTGCTTTACACAGCCCGATCGAATTCCGACAGCGGGGTGAATAAACCTTGGTTCGGGTTCGGGTAAAGTGCATTCTTGTTAAATCAAATAATTTGTTTTGATAAAAGATTTTTCGATCCGGCCAAATAGTCATATCGTTTATGTTTCTATGTAACAAACAAATCACTAAATCAAATAAAATTCATTCGTTGTGTAATAAGCGCGTGTTCAACCGCTTATCTACATCGATATATGACTGGCTATGTGTGTATATTAAGATTTACACTGACTTTACACGGGCCACCCTCTTTCAGTCACTTTCTTTGTTCACTTGGGCCCAGCTGCTCACATGACAATACGAAAAAAATTGATGAAGTGAAAACAATCAACGCACTTGGAATGTGAACTATTACGAGAAAAAAAAATGTATTTCCTTTGAAATGAACGAGAACCAAAACGAAAAAAAAAACCATTCATGCAATAAAAATCTCAACCTATTGCCTGTGCACAGCGCATTCGTGCAAGTCACGTGTCGTTACCGATTGCGTTTATCAATGTCTGCAGTAGCAAAAGCTGAATTTAAAAACTCATTCTTTTATCTCAATCTTCTTTTTTATTTTCAATTTGCAATGATTTTTTTATTTGAGTGCGTGTTTTGAAATTATCACCCTTTCCGCATCCGAACAAATCGGGTGTCTAGGTTTTTGCTCCCAAGTGCAAACGTGCGACGAAACACACTAGCACAAAGGTGCCTTTAGAAGAAATGCATTTCTATGGTACAGAGAGAGAGAGAGAGAGAGAGAGAGAGAGAGAAACGATTTCAAGTGAATTTCTCCATAGACACATTATAAATGAGCAGATTTTATTCATTGTTTTTACGACTCTTTTATTTTTGCGGCGAAATTAAAAATAATGTATTTAACCGAAGGTTTTATGGCATGAACAGAATCCCAATCGTCAATTTTTCTGTTTCGATTGAATTTTTTTGATAGTCTAGAATTACTTGCGATCAAAAGTATCCTTTTTGTAATTTAGTCCCGATATTTTCGGCAATGAATTTGTTTTCTGAAGAAACAGAACAAACACAATAATAATGAAGTCTATGTGGGAATGAGCGCTTATAAAATAATACCCATTTGTCTGAGTTGATGAATTCTTCGGTTAATGGTAGCATTGAAAAAAGACGGTCACATATCTTTTGTTTGAAAAAAAAAACAAACAACAAAAAAAAAGATTGTGATGAAATCTCCGATTTTCGACATTGAAGTGAATATATTTTCATTATAAAAAACTACAAACAAAGGGTTTTTTGCCTGTTGTTATTTCTCAATCGAAAATGCTGTCGTGTGCATACGGCGAAAAGATTTAAAGACACAAATTCAAAGGGCATTTATTCGATTTTAATTAAATTGCTTTTTCAATAAATTCGGAAGTCACACGTGCTGGCACTTGTTTGCCCGAACTCGAATTCATATTAAAAATGAAAAAGTCTAAATCGAATATTAAAAGTACTAAAATCAAATAAAAAAGGAACGAAAAAGACTTCATAAAACGTTTGGCACTAAACGTTTGGGTTCATAATAAAATCTCTCAATTTTAAAACCAAGAATATTTTTTTTGACTCATGCATTTGATGCTAAGAGAAAGACAATAGAGAGAAAAAGAAGAAAAACATGAAATAAGACAAATAAAACAAACAGAAAATTATCATCAAATTCTATCGAATTTCGAAATATAATTATTAAAAATCGTATTCTTTTCGGCTGTTCGGATACTGTTCGAAATTGACTCAAATTACTCAATAAAATTAAACAATGTCGTTGAAATTGCAATGGCCCGTGTACTTTTTGAATATGCTAATTTGTATTCATTGCCCATTTACGTGTGCTGCAATGTATTCCACGCAAAAGATACAATTACCTAAAATCGAAGTTCATTTCATTTAAATTTTGATGCTCCATAATTCGATTATCCAATTAACTTCCACATTACGTGAATCAGTGAACATTAAAAGGAAATTATTGACGCGATACTACAACAGCACCAAGATATAGACCGTGTGTATGAATTAACTGATGTTGCTTCTTCCCTTTTGCACAACAACAACAACAACGGTAGCCAACACCATTGTCAAAATGATTGTCTATAGACGCAAACCAGTGAAACACATACAAAATAATAACAATAAATGGCAATGAAAATGAAAACGATTAAATGATTTCGCTTAAATATCAATTTCATGGACTTACACCTCTCGATGCTTGGCAACTATAAAACTTTCGACACAGAGAACAAAAAACCAAAACAATTGAAACTCGATGCCGTTCGTATTTATGAAAAATCTCCCAAATATATACAAAACAGACAAAGATTAATTTTGCAAGCGTGCGCCATCTATTGGTGTATAGCTGAACCAAACGAACTTTCGATAGAAAATCATTGGAATGCATTAGACGCACTCATCAAAAGCATGTGACAGCTCTTGTCATTGGAATCCAATTTTTGTAAACAATGTGCCTGCGATGACACACAAAAGATTTTCTTTGTTAAGAGTTTCATGGAATAAATAAAAATGCACAACACACCTGATAAAAATGCATTGAATACCAGTGCCTTTTCACCAGTCCGATGTAAGTAGAATCAATAATACGTAAAATTCATTGAAATCGGTTTGGTGACGGATATGAGCGGATTTTTCATTGTTGTTTGTTATTTATTTTCAGTCACTGACAGTCCGTCGCATTTGAAATCGCTGAAAAATGATAACATTGGCATTAGAACACGATTGAAAGCCACCGCAAAGACATTGGTAGAGAATCATCGTAAATGGGATGCAGCACATCGTCGTGGTATCACATTGTGTAAATCGATTGAAAAGTGTAAATCGCATGCAATCAAAACATTCAATGACAGTACTGATACAAATGTTGCCGATAAAACGCTGTATCCGACGGAATTAAAGGCAATTTGTGATAAATTGCAAGTGATTACAACGATATTCGAAGATGTTCGAAACAGTGCAAATGAATCAAGGCGTCAAATCGTCTCGTTTATAAAACTTGGCTTGACAAATGTATTTGCCGACAGTTCGTTGGTGTATCGAACATGGGATTGTACAATGCTTCAATCAGCCACCGACCGAATTTGTGATGCATACGAAAACGAATACGAAATGAAAGTTAAAGTGATGGAAAATATTGCGCATTCACGAAACGACGATGAATTAGCAATGCATTTGGCCGTATGGGAATATCAAACGCATGTTGATTCAGATATAGAAATGCTCATTAAATCATTGATTATCGAAGCTGATATTGAACTTGACGACAAAACGTAATGAATAATTTTAATCGCTATTTGATTTGAATAAATTTGTATGTTACCAAGAACGAGTGGTTTTTATTTTATTTCTCATTGACATTGACTTTAAACCTTACATAATTTTAGCTCTTGATTCGGATTCTTGTGTGCTTGCTGGCTGGTCGTTAATCAATTTCACACCAATTGACGTCCTCTATATGGTTCTAATACAATCGCGTACCGATTACGACTAGTTGGGCTGACGCTATTGAAAACAGGAGAAATCGAATAGAAAATAAATTGATACATTGCGTCGGTCCATTCAATCGTATGGGTGGAATGTGTCTAGAATAATGAATTTATTATGTTTGCAAAAAAGCGGTTCTAAACTTGTTTGCGCTGTCAAAGATTTAGTTGGTTTTGGTTTGATGCGGTGAAAGCATTAAACGTGTTTGTACAAAAACCTACACGTAAAAGAAGCGTTAACAATTATGTGAGCTCTAATTGATTCAAATGAATTGGGAACAAAACGCAACTAATAAGTAAGCGTACGTCGATAATTTTATTCATTCATAGTTTTTTAAATTGAAATTGCTAGGCCGGGGTCATCAAGTTCAAAGCCCACGGAAGCGGCATTTTTTCATGAGAGAATAATTGAAACTACATTGAATTGGATGTATAGTTTTTTTTCGGGATTTTTCTTGTTATATTTATTAAATACACAAAATATCATATATATATATTTTTTTGTAATATTATTATTTTTTTTTGCTTTCTTTTCATAACATTTACAGTCTAAATTTAAAGCTTAACCTAATACATTTTATTTATCACAATTTGGCACAAACATTCATTCTTCGAATTTTGGTTCTCTCTTTTGCTATCTCTATGTATCTCTTTTCTCTTTCATTTCATTCATTATTCTCGTCTAACTATTTAATGACTATAGTATAAATACAATATTTTTTTGTTCATCGTCTCTGTATACAATGTACGTTGCGTGCAGCACTTTGTATTTTGCCTTTCGATCTCATTAAATCTAATTGAATTGAATGAATGAAAGAAAAAAACAACAACAACAACAAACTAAAATGACAATAGTTAGGACTTGTGTGTGATTGAGAAAGCAAACAGAAATTGAAATAGTCACACTGCGACCCACGGAAAGTGAATCTGTTCTCTCTCTCTATATTTTTTTTTCGTATTTGATGTGCAGTTCAGCGTGTAATTGATTATTGCTGGGAGAAAGAGAGTAGGCCTTTTACTTTCTCAATTATGTGTGCAATTGTACGACGTTTTTCAGTCGAACGTAATCGATGGATTTGTTTGGTATTTTTTTGTATGATTATGCAGTTCGCGGTATTATCGTCAGTTTTCTGCCAATTTCCACAAAATTTATGTGAGAAAACTGAATGCCATTGAATTTGAACGAAAAAAAAAATACCGCAAATTTAATATACCGATGAAAATATTGAATAATACTTGAGAAAATTATGATTCATTTCACCGAACGATTTCTTTTTCGTTTGTAGGTTGAATTTGTGTGTATGACTTTTGACTTGGATTTCATGTAATTAAATGTTTTGGACATTATTTGCATATATGTAATAAAGACGATGATAATACAAGTGGAAAGTCTTGTCGCAATGTTTGCACAATACATGTTCAGTTGCCGTAAAAAGAATGTCAAACAACGGTTATTTTGCTACGATTCAAAAATCACCAATTATAAACATTTGCACGTCACACACTTGCCTATTGACCGTGCACAGCATTTTCTTACACTTTCTTGTGTCCACACGTTCGCCCCAAAAAACATCATACACACAATTCGAAATTCTTCTTCATCGCACTTAATTACAATTGGCAAATGTTATCGCGGTACGATTTAATTTGACATTTTATTATTTCGTTTTAATTATAAGCAAACGCATGGGCGGAGAAGGTGTCGATAAACTCAATCGACGTTGCAGTCGTGTATTTCATTATTTTATGTGAATTGTTTGCATTAAGTATTGTTTACGACTAGAATTTTTAGTTCTGTGCATCCACCTTCTTCCTCTGGCTATATCTTTTATAGCAATACAAACTGTTTTGAGTGATGTTGAAAGCGTATGGCATACGAAAGAAATTTGGCTTTCAAATCGTATACACAATGGACTGTAAACAGTTACTCATCTTCATGTTCTTTTTAAGGTTTGACTGTACAAAATTAAAACAACCGTCAATTTGTTGGTGAGAATAGATTGAATGATTTCACATGGAACGGTCACAACTCACTCATGAACAAAAAAAATCTCTTCCCAAAAAGCATACAAATACCCGTACAAGAATATCTATATTTGATGCGAACGTGTCAACGTTTCAAAACGACAAGTGACGTTAAATATCTTATGAACATTGAATACTAAGAGCGTACGTAGTTTCTTTTTTTTATTGTTTCAAATTCTTACAAACGAATAATCTCAAAATTGATCAGACTTTTTGAAATTGATTTCGCGAGTTTGTTAAAAATTAAAGTGGGAAGCGTTGATAACGTCATTTTATGATGGAAAAGAAAACGTATTTGGAAGAGACAAAACGTTCACTCAAAAGTTTGTTGCAATGAGTTGGCGTTTCGGAAGACGCCGGACAGTGCTACCGCCAGTTATTAATAATCTCATGACTTAATCGGGTACGAATTTTAATAAAATGTAACCCGAAATTGCACAAACTCCGAGAGAATAGCGAGAGTTGAAGAACATGACTTTATGAAAAATAATTCTTTGCACCGTTTATACAAATCGAAGAAAAAAAAGACCTAGCTCAATGCAACCGATTCACTGGCCACACTATCGCAGTCGCTTGATTTATGCGTAATACTATGCTCATTTGTAAAATCGGATGCTGTTTGTTGTTCAATTGTGATGACTGTTGATGCGTTACAACTATTTGATACTACATTTTCATTTGTTTGACTAATGCTATTACTATTACTACTGGTGCCATTTCTCGTTGTAATAACACCACCATCAACTGTATTTTGTTGGATATTGTCCCGTTCGTAGGTGGTGCTGATGTGTGCGGCAATTTCCAAATCGGCATAATTTGGCAATGACACATCCTGGTAATATTTGGTATGTAGTAAATTGGCTGGATTCAATTTAATGGCCTCATCATAGCACGGTGGATCCAAAATCACCACCGTATCGTATTCTGGTGGCTTTTCAACTGTCGGAGGATCAGCAACGGATATCACGTGAATGGCATCATTATCGTCAGTCTGCAAAAAGTAAAAAAAACAATCGTGAAATTAATGTAATGAGCATACATTTACAATTGAGATATTGCTAATAATAATCGCTCATTTTATACAAATGGTTTTGAATGCATAAAAAACTCAACCATTTCTCCAATCACGCCAAAGATTAATTGATTTCCATCAAATGTAAAAAACACACACACATATGTGAACCATCAATCACTCGATTAGCTGTAATCAGAACACCGGCATTATTCACGTTGAGCTCGCATTTTATCAAAGTTGTTTTTTCCGACACAATCAACGCTTTCCAAATGAGCGAAATAAACAGATAGATGAACCAAAAAAAATACACTGGTCATTGACTGATGATAGCCAAAAATGTCATGACTTTCATTGTGTTTACGTTGAATTTCGTCAGTAAATATTCAACTTTGGCAAGCATTTCGCATAAACAAATTTCAACTACCCACATTCTGCGAATACGATCGACGGTTTTTATGGTTGTTTTTGTTCGCTGTTTGATGTGACAAAATTCAGGACAGTGAGATCATTTAAAATTTGTGATAAGCGTGAAAAAGAAAATTGCTACTTATGTTTATATTTATATTTCGGTGTCTAGACTTTGCCAAAGTATACTGAATCCAGTTTGAAATTTGTCGAAAAACTTTATTGTTTCGCATATCCGCTTCGTAAATGTTTACAATACTTTTTTCAGCGAAAACATCTGTTTTCGGTTAATGGTATTGAAAAAGAACATTATTGAATAGTATTTTTGACTGGATCTGATTTTTTTTTTTTTTCAAAAGGAAGGGTCTTCATTATTATAAAAAACCCGGTTTATTAATAAGTTTTTTGTCCATTTTTTTAAAAAATCAGACTAAAAATTAACCGCATTAAATCGCACGGAAATAAATGTGAATAATATTGAATATGGCACGGATTTAATGCTTGAATAAAATGTTATTGAATTTACAGTTCCACATATAAAATGCAAACATGAAAAAGCAAATATGTTTTTAATTAAGTGATTTTTGTAGAAATGAATTTACAAATTTAAATTAAATAAATCGGCGTCAATTTATTGAACGTTCATATGTTATATTTCATTGTTCAAAAACGTGTTTGCATTTGTAGTGAAAACTCACAATTAACCGGATCTTGTTAAAAGTGATTATTTTCTCATATGTATTTTATTGAAAATACACTCATTTTTTTAGTTGGTTGACTTTTCAGTTAGATATGTCTCATTCGGTGTTAATTTCAATTGGATCATTTATTTCTTTATTCATCATCGATTTGCATGGTAAATAAACATTAGCCATTCGTATGAGATGTATTTCATATTGTTTCTCCGTTGCATTGTTCAAGCGTGATGTGGTTGAGTGTGTTCGTGTTAAATAGTGAATGACCGTAAAATGAGCAATAATAATAGTAATAATTACCTCTGATACACCAACGGCACTACGATTTGGTACATGAAGCCAACAGCACATAGCTGTACAAATTAAAAATGCTCCGCCAATAATACATGCCACGCCAGCATATCGAAATGGATCTGTGTAGTTCTCTGCAAGGCCTATCCAGTTGATCAGAGCGCCGAAACACAATAAAATCATACCATAACGATATGGTTTCTGTGTACGTTGCGCCTCCTCTGGTGTCATTACTAAAAATTTGAATGAGAAAAAGCAAATTAACAAACTAAACTCAAGAAGCATTGAATATGGCAAAAGAGAAGCGAGAAGACTGCAATTAAAACAAATGGACAACGGAAATTATTGTCTTGTGTATGCTACGCGATTTCTGTTATTATTCTCTCACGTGGTAGTTTCAGTGAGCAATATTTTGCGAAGAAATACAACACGCGGAATTTATTGAAATTTATTAAAGTGTTCCTTGTTTTAAAGTGAAATTTTATCGAAGGTTAATTATCGTTTTGTTATTGAATCTGAATTTATAAAATCAATTCATATTCGATAATATTGTAGGTATATTATAATAAATTATATGTTCCTTATAACATAAGAACAAACAATTCAATGCTGGGTATATGGTTGTTGTGTGAAATAAGTCACTGTGTCAAACAATCAACGTTAAAATCTTAGCACCGAATTCATCTTTAATCTTATTGTCTATTTATTTGTACGATAACAATCACCCAATTGTTCTTCATAGGGTTCGCTAAACTTGTAGCCGAAAGTCTTCACAGTTCAAACAATCGACATTGTCAATAAAACCGAAATTTGCTTTTCTAACACAGACGATTTTTTTTTGTTTCACCTCATAAATAGCCCGCCTAATTAGTTGATGTGATAACCGTTTGGTTTTCAATCATGTGATTTGAATCGTGACACATTCGCATTTTACACCGTAAAAAACTCTGTTTTTGGTTTCAGAAACTTCCGACTCATATGTGTATGTAAATCTTTAAAAAGTTGTTAGCATTTGATATCAAGAAACCCCTATATCTTTCAATTCTCGAACGTTGGCGGGTACCGCCAGGCACTGATTGCTTAATATTAACTCAATTTGGAATAAAGTTGATAAAAAAAAGGTTTATTCAAAAAATTCAATGTCATCAAGAAATAAACAAATCACAAATCGATAAATATGCGAATATATTTTAAAAAAAACATCGTTATCGATTTGTAAACGCATAAATGTTTGTGTGTTACTTTGCATGTATTAGATAGATCCAATGCTTAAAAGCAATGTCATTCGAACCAGTTTGTTAATGCAGTTTATAATGTTAAGATTTACCGTATTTGTTGCTTTGACACATTACAATCGAATTAAAAACGCAGATAAGGTAAAGATCTCAATTCATACTCCAGCAGGCATGCAGTATGTAAGTGAAAGAAATATAATCAAGCGAACAAGTGATAAAAGTCCATAAAGTGTTTTATTAAGACGTTTTAGATAACGATAATTAATTATCACCAAATACACACACGTGCACACTAAATAATACTCCGTTAGAAAAAAAACTCGAGTGTATTTTTGTAATCTGGTTGCCATGGAGGTGCTCTTTTTCGTTGTCATCGTGTGCGTTCCAAAACTAAATTTAAACACACCCAAAATCACATGACATCACACTACCGCAGTGTACCGTTCCGAAAGTAGTCGAAGCGCATTTTAAATGTTCACATGCATCAAAACAATACAGAAACAAATCACAAATTCATCACTTAACTTACCATCCGTTTGGTAAAAGTTCCGATGGAATGTGTCCATTGATACTCTACGCGACACATATGGTGTTTCCATTCTTTTTTGCTATTTTATTTATATTAACTCTGTCTCAATGTAAGTGTATGTGTCTTTGGTTCTCTGAGATTCTGTTTATATCTCTTTGTGTATATGTGTGTTTGTATATTTGTGAAAGGTCTTTGAGTTCAATTAATTGGGTTTTGCTTGAAATTTTTTACTAGCATTCTTTAAAAAAGAAAAAAAGAAGAAAAAAAACAAATAAAACGTGTGAAAATCAAAAACAATGGTCAGAAAGCCACACATATGTGCCAATTAATTTATTAATGCGGATTTAACTACTTGATTTTGGAATACGATATACATGTTATTCACAATGAACTTAATCCAATGACATACGAAGCGAAAACAACACACGAACACAGAGTCTACACAGCTGATATACGAAAATTTTATGGCATGGACGAATTCTTTTTTTATTTTTGACAATTCGATGCGAGATTAATCATATAGTGATTTTTTTTTCTCTTCATCGAATCACAGGCGACATGGACACTTTCGATCGTACATGAATTTTTGTTTATGTTGATTAGTCTAAAAGTGTTAGTGACATTGGAACACCTTCAAAATGGCATTGTGTTACCGAGCTACAGCTACAAATATATGATTCGAAAATCACCGATATAATTCTAACTAAAAATGCGTGAGTTAAACTCGCTTTTGATTCCCACCAGAAATAAATGAAAATTGTTTAAATGATTAGAATTTCTCTAAATATGATACCATTCCCAGTTCGATACCATTCAAAAATCTTCTATTCACACCCAAATTGGATTGTAAACGTGATCTGAATTGCGATTTTAAACTCATCTGAAATCGTTATTATCAAACAAACTAATGTTTATCCGCCTTCGAGGCTAATTTGATATATATAAAGAAATTATTGAACCAAAAAAGTTACGATCACACTGATTGAAAGATGAGTCAAGGAACTTCGACGAATACGACAGTTTACGATTTAATCATTGATATTATTAGATGTTTTCTTGAAAATGACCAAGAAAACAAATCGATCCGACATGAAGAAAAAAAATGTTTCGAAGTAAAAGCGACCTTTCCATATTGAGACTTGATTTTTTACTTTGTCATGCAATTTTGAAGTAAAATGGTGTTCGATTTCAAATGTAACAATCCCAAGTTCTGTGTGATTTACGAAAATCGTAAAATGAAATAAAAAATCATCATCAGATCAAACCAACAATTGAAAAATTATCATTAGACACTTCCGTTCGGGTTAGGTAAAGTATCAAGTAATTCGAATTGATTTTCTTTGTTCCGTTCGACGCTTTGGCAAATCTTCCGTGAAGCATCACATATACACAATAAATTCGTAGGAAATCCGTAGGATATGCTGACTAATATTATTGCACATATGCTTAAATTGGCGATGCGATTGAATGGAGAAAATCACCCAAACACACCGATCATGCACTGACAGATTTCAACGCCGACAGCAACAAAGTAAATAATTTATTACAAAATCAAGGTTAGACTAAAATGCTAAAGCATATGATATCACATCAATATTCAGTGTGTATCAGTTGAGAGAGTGTGAGAGAGCAAGAGCGCGAGATAGATATGACAGATAGAAACAAAAACGCACATTCAATTTAAAGCTGAATATTTTGTATATGTGGAAAGAGAAGGAAGCAAAAAAAACTGAAACGTCGAAGACAAACAACGCAGCTACATGATTGCTCATAAACGATTAAATACGCTTTAAATATGGTAAGCGAGTAATGCGCGCGCACACTCACGTTCACTAATAATAATAATCATTCAGCAATAGCAACAGCGGCGAACGAAAAAAAAGAAGAAAAAATCACCAAAGTCGCAAGTGCGGTTGTCTGTTGAATTGAAACTCAGCACGACAATGTTTCAGAAAGAGAGAAAAAAACATACGCGCTTCCGTATTTTGTACATACAAAATATTCATAACTCACACTTATGAAATATTCTCTTTGCATGCAACAATCAATTTTAATTGTTAATTGAAGAAACCATAAAATTTTTAACAATTTTTATGCTCATAATAATAATGACACCCGACGTGTGTGTAATTCTCCTTTCATCCGACTCGGCAACTTTTGCTTGATTTTTTTTTTTGCGACTTAAGAAGACAGTTGTTGCGTGTTTGTTTTAAGTGCGTTGCATTACCGGTTTTGCACTTGAAGAAGAAAGAAGCTGGCATGCAGTAGTTGACCACTTCGGCGAACTTGTACTTGAATTTACACGTTTTTTTTTAAATGGCCGGTTCTGCGTTACACTTGGAAAATTTTTGCGAGCGCAAGCTACAATAAATCCAGTCTCATACATTTTGATACAAAGAACTAGATGACAGCGAAATAGAATATACAATTTAATTAAAGACCGTGTTATTGTTTTGGTTTTCGTGTCGCAAAACACTGAACTCATCAATTCTTCTTTTATTTTGCTTCTTTTATATCATCCATTCGCACGAGTGTGTCTGTCTGTTAAGCTATGCAGCTTGTCATTGACTTTTTCCAGACTTTCTTTTGCTATGCAACTGACTTGAATAAACAGCGGAAATGAACTTAACATAAAACGTGGCCCATGGCCAAAATAAAATATTCTGGCTAAAACAAAAAAAAGTGCATGAAAAATCTGTCTTGTTCCAATTCAATGGTCGCGACCATGGTCAGCCGATGACATTTTCGACAATTCGTAATGTTTCGTTTCGGTTAAACATGTAAAATAAAAAAACATACAGAAAAATCAAGCACGCGTTCGCACAAGTTCAGAAAGTTCATACATTAAACGGGGTAACCTATAGCTTAATGAAGTAAATAGCTCAGTAAATGTAGTTCATAAACAAAGTTCACACAAATCATTGATTGATTGTCAATTGAACTTTTTTGTTGTTGTTATTTATTTGTGTCAGTTCATCGACGTTAAGCAATCATCGACACGGACAATTGATTTGAATTTTCATTATGGTTGATTGTTCATAAAATGTCTGGCATAGTCAATATGCCAATTTTTTTTTTTTTTGCTCAATCAAATGGGGGGTATTGAAGAAAAATGATCGCAAAAACGGTACATTTACATCCATAAATTCAAACGATATCGTCGACAAATCATGAAATGCTATGCTTAGCACGAGCACAAAAGAAATGGAGCGATCGGCACATATGCGACAGAGAAAGAGAGGCAGATCTAGATAACGAGCAAGTGAAAGAAGAAAAAAAAAGAGAAAGAGATGTCAGCCGATTTAATTTATTTTCGAAGAATCAGCAGCAATATCAACAAGCACTGATGCTGACTCATATAAATAAAACTAAATGTGCGTGCCAAAGCATGTTCTATTTTCATGTGGCACAATAAGAAAAATGAAGAAGCGAACAAAACAAAATATCGAAGAAAGGTAAACGAAAGATTTGTACAGAGTACGTGATTTTGCTAGAGCATAAAAATGCTTTTAATATTGCCTCGTTAATAACATACATGAAATATGATCCATACATTTCGTCTCTTTTTTTTCGAAATTTAAATTGAATGAGAATTTTAAATCGCAACATTTGCACATGGATCAAGTACGTATACACGAATAAAACGAAACATTGCCAAAGGCAAAGGCACAATGCCCGATCACATACAAATCACTTATGAACTCATACACCGTTTGACAAACAATACTTTTGTCTGTTTTGAATAAATGTGTCCGCTAATAGATTTTGAAAAGTTTCATTTTTCATTGAGTGGTTTTTTATTACTCTTTTTGACCCGCGTTTTCGACCAGGGCCAAATAGAAATCTTTTTTCTTTGAAAAAGCTAAGCAAACAACTAACCATTCCGATTATAATTTCATAAATTGAACCCTGACTTTGACATTACAGTACATAAACCTTTCGCTTGTCACCCAGACAAGAAATAGATTACCGAAAAAAATAGTTGCTCCCAAAATAGTCGCCTATGGCAAAAATCAACTCATACATTTCATTTAAGCAAGTCATTTGAAAAATGCCGTTTTCTTATTTTGTCGAGAGGAAAAAAAACACTCGCACACTTTTTCTATTCAAATTTGTAAGTCTTGAAACATTCATATATTCAACACGAAAAAAAAAAACATACTTGAAACATTTTATTTTCGTAATCTGAGACAGTTGAGCTGCATATATTTGAAAGCAATTTTACAGATTTGCATCGAATAATAGGTCGAATTGTTGCCATTTTCACAATTCGTTCAAAAGATAATTCATAAATTGCATCTTGCAGTTTTCGCGGTTGTTGTTGTCATTTTCAAACACAAAGGTTTTCAACAATCGTTGAAATGTTGCGATAAACGGTTGCTCACGTCAAAGAATTATCATTATTTTATGTGTGTGTGAAAAAAAAGCATTTATGACTTTTTCGCAGCGCATTCCATTCAAAGTACGACTCTTTCAAAATTAAAAAATCGACGATTTTGTGCTTATTTTCGCTTTAAATTGCGACAATTAAATCAGTTTGAGTTGGTGGCACGTAATGATCGATTCAACCATCAGTTACAATTGGCGTATTTCGAAAGACAATGTGAAAAAATTCGAGTACGAAACGATTCATTAGAACTGATATGTATTGTTACGTTGCAATGTCGAAAAAAAAACAACATTTATGCCAAAACTTCTGTGCTGGAGATAGAAAAAAAATCACGGTCCCAAGCATTTGTCGGACTTTGGTTTACCTTTTGTGTGCGATATGCACAAACATTACCTTTTTGTCTCAAAGAATTGTTATTTACTCATTTCGTGTTTGAATCGCGACGCTTTTGAACGCGGCTATATCCAAATTCTCGTATAGCTCTCTCGTATTCTCTCACATAGCGCTTTGCTATTTCGATGTCTATTTCGACATCGTGTTTAATTTACTTCGAAGAGATATATCTTCAACTTACGAAAAAAATCCGGATCACGATTACGCGCGCCCACATTAATCAAATCAGTCGCTATAGCACACGAAACCAATGACGCGACACACACACATATTCATATTTTGTTTACCATTTTTATAATTTGTTTGTTTTTCATTCTCAGCTTATTCAAACTGTACTTTATTCGTTCGAAGAAATACAACAGCTCTTTTAAATTTGCTGTTTGCAAAGATTCATTTTTATTGCTTGTTTCTAAAGGTGTGTGGATGTAGTTATCTACCGCTCACGCACAATCATCGCTCATTGAAGAACACATGGTGTGTGTATGCGAATATTATCACTGTCCCAGCATTTAATATCGTGATTACCATTATCAAATGCGCTCGCAATGCAATGAACAAAAGAAATGAATGTATGCTGTTAGAATCGGCTAGCTTTGTTCTTTTTTCTCTCTCCGCTGTACAGTAAACGTTCTGATTCGTTGCAGCTTGCGAAATACAGAGTCTTAATGCCGATCTGCAGCGCATAAGCAGCGGTGCATTCGTGCTTGGCCTATGATTGTAATCACAATTTAAGAAAATATACTATGTACGATGTACGTTCAATGCATTGTTGAATGCCCTTTTTATCCAGCATGTGCTTTTTTGAAAACCGTTATCGGAAGTAGCCAATGTTGAAATCAATCAATAACAGAGAAAAAACAACCGCAAATGGTCTGTATTGAAACAAGTTAATAAAGCATGATACCAAAAATCATCATTCCTCAAATAAATGTCATAAGCCATTCGGGCGCATGACGTCTGGGAGAAAACGATTCTATAAAAAAAATATTTTTGTCGAAATTGTTTATATGCTCTTTGCTACAAAGACTAAAATGAAAGAAGCTGATAACATGTCATTTCTTATTGGTTTGGATTTATACACAGAATAAATCTTAACGAAAATTGGTTCGAGATAAGAGTCTGCGTGCGAATTATAGCGTAGCATTTGCTTGGTAAAAAACCAGTCAGTCTATTTATAGTTTACTGTTTTTTGCAATGGTATTTGTAAATATACACGTGTATTGAGCAAGGTAATTCGAATTGGTATAAAAAAAAATCTAAAACTGGATTTGTTCAGTGATTTTTTAAAATCATATAACGGACAAGTCAAACCTTTATTATGATTGATGTTATCATTCGATATTTGCTGCGGTTTGAATTTTCATTTAAAGAGAAACAAAACAAAAATAGTTTATATATAACTGACACTTCACACAACTTGCTAATTTCTATCGGCACAATGTATATTTTGCTAGACGCGAGAAATGCTCACGCGGCTTGTTCAAATGCAGATGCAAAAAAAAATTGAAATACTTGTCTCTGGGAAAACAAAGCCATATCTCATTACAACTATAATTGAATACCCGTCATAACACATATGGTTGACACGGGAATGCGAGTGTTTGTATCGATTGCATATGTGTAATGAATTCGCAATTACATTATTTCACGCAGCTAATAAACAAATGTAATTTCCCGATGTGAGTACGATTAAACACGTTGCAAGTGCGCGCACAGTCGTGAGCGGGGAAGTTGGTATACGGGTATGTCAATAAGTGATCGAACTCCGGGCTTTTTTGTCATTGTCGCCATACGGCAAATTAGTAAATATTTACCGAAGCTACGAAGGCACGGCGATTTCAACGAGCGTAAGATTGAAACCAATTGTAAATCGATAACAAAAAAGAGCATGAATCAATTGAATGTGAGTGTCATTTCCAAAAAAAAAAAAAATTCGAGCGATTCCAACTAAGTGAAAATGTAAATAATCACTTGTTGAAGTGTGAGCGATTCTAATGGATAAAAAATGAGTTCCGCGAATGATGATGACTTTTATTATTGTTATTAGCTGGACATCACAGTCCAGTACAAATTAACTGTGAAATTCAACCAAACGTCATGATGATACGCTTTGATTTTTTGTGTTACGCTACAAATGTTTTCGATAAAAACGATTATTAATATTTTAACCCGAATGATTGAATCAGCAAATGACATTATCAACATTCCCAGCATTAAATGGAACACACAAAACGATTCTTTATGAGATCGATACACAGAAAAAATAATCTTATATGACTATGTTTGAAGAAAATGTGTGAATGTATGTATTTTTTTTACCGAAACTGTATCGCCTTCTATATTTAGCTAGAATGTAGCACATTTCAATTTATCATCCAGAACCGAACACCAATAACACGAACGAAACCGTCGTATATACACTTGATTCAAAATTATTATTGCAACTGGTTTGCGGGCTTCGATTGGTGCGTTGCGCAGCAGCAAAAGATTTTGCGTGGCCGGTTATTGATGCGTTTTATTATTTTTTTTTTCAGTCCGTGTATGCGCGCGCCTGTCGTCCGTTTTTCTTTAAAATGGTTCTTTCGGTGTTGCAATTCGTTATTCTTTACGATCTGTACGGATTTTCATGCACTCGGAAAAATCCACAGAGTAAACAGAACTCGATATTTCAATCAGAAAACACTTTGAGATTTTTTTTTATATTCACAATATTTAATGTTTTCGTCTTTATTTTTAACACACACAATTTTTTTTTCGAAGCGTGTCAATTTCACAACCGACCGTTCTTGTTTCAGTACAGTTTGTGCTGGATTCGAAATGAGTTAATTCCTGGGGACAAGTTATGTGACATGTGACAGTCGATGATATTTACACCGCTTTTCCAAATATGTTTTATTTTTATCCACACAAAAAAAAATAGAACACTTTGTTATGTCTTCTTCTCATTTACACACAGAACTAACTGATCTTCGTTTATAGATAATAATTCAAGTTGAAATGACTATGTGTATTTTTCTTGTGATCGTTTGGTATACGGTTTAAATCTTCAAAATGACAAAATACGCTTTATAATCGTACTTTGATGCAAGGAAAAAAACCACTTTCTTGGCTTAAAAACACAAAAATACACATCAATTCTAGATTCACACGACAATGTAAAAGAGAACACAAGAATATTTCTATTTTGTTTTATCTATTTCGACATTCGGTTTTTAAGATCACACCAATTTTCTGTGGCTGTGTGATTCGTTTAGCTTGCTACCTTGGCAAGACGGTGTACGCAACTAAAGTTAATTTTATTTTAACGGTTACTAATAAGCATCGAAACGAGCAGCGCACCGTGCTCAAAATACACATACACACCGTTGAGAAAAAGTGCTCAATGTAGCCATCTGAAACTGAAAGCCAACAAAAATAATAATAACAACAGAGCCAACGGCGACTCACTTTGGAAGTGAATGAAACGAGCGAAAATGAAATAAACACACTCGCATGCGTATACGTATGTATGGTTAAGTGCACAGCTGACTGATACAATCCAAACAAATGACACTGCGTACGGAGCTTGCTATGAGTTAAAACCGGCACTACGGTTGAGTGAAAAATGAACCGATCGCTGTGCCGTTGAAAGGTTTATAAATATTTTGCGATTCAAACAATTATTGTTCTATTTTTAGCATGTTTTCATGTTTGAAAAAAAAATTCTTGTATATATTTCAATAATTTCATCAAACACAGTTCATTTTTCTTTGATATATTTGACAGATTCATAAATTCGATTTCGGGATAAACAACGTCC